CCCCCAATTACCCCCTCTCCCCAGATGGCAGCCTGCAGCAAGTGCAGCCGGGCTGATGGCCGAGTGGTGTGATGTGCCCTGTGTGGGTACTCCGGGCAATCCAAGCCAGGACTGCTTTGCAAGCGGGGCACCCCTGAGAACTGTCTGTCCGGGTTGGGGGTCGGGACCCTTTAAGCACAGCCCTCAGCTAGCCTGAGACAGCATCTCCACGCTCTAAGTCCTCCTCTGATGCCCTGCCAGCACTGCTTCCGGCCATCCTTAACCCCGGTTCAGGGTCCACTTAATGTGGACATGCTAGTTCGAATTAGCAAAACGCTAATTCGAACTAGTTTTTTAGTCTGGATCCGTTAGTTTGAATTAGCTTAGTTCGAAATAACTAATTCGAAGTAAGTTTGTTCGGATTAACGTTGTAGTGTAGACAGACCGTTAGAGATTATTAAAACTGGAATAACTTTAAAAGTATATTTGCTTTATTGTGTCTGCCTTTTGCAAATATTTTGTTTCTGTTTAGTCAATTTGCACATTTAGTTAATTAATTTCACTTCCTGTTTTCCATCATGATTAGCATGATGTTGCAAATACAGCAAGACAAATGATCCTGGCCTTATTGATTTTGCCAGAATAGAGGCAGTACAGAAGATCTCCCTTTCTATCAGAGACCAGATAATAACAATCATGCCTATAAAGTGGTAGTCATCATTAACCAATCCCAGTAAATGTTGAATCTGAGATTGACTGGGTGCTATTATTAAAGGTTGATGGTTGAAAGTTGTTCCTTTGTTTTGCTTGCTAATAGGGAACTTCTTCCCTCCTTCTTTTCTCTTTATTTATATTCTCCATTCATTGCTGTTTCATGGGTATAATATGCTTTTTCACTGTTTTGATTGCAATTGTTGCCAGCCTGTGTTTACTTTTTGGGTTGTGCAGTTTGGATTTATTTATAGATTGTAAATAATGTTTAGATTTCTACTGCACCTTCTGTGGGTTTTGCTCTCTATCCACCTAGTACAGGATTGCAACTAAGGTTTGATCCTAGCGCAAGAGGTTAATTCACCATTCCCACATGGGAGACGTCAAGTCAGGCATTAAAACTAAAGGGCAGTGTTTCCCAATTTTATTTGGCCACAGAACCCTTTTAAACTTGAAATAACTTTGCGGAACCCCTCATAACAGTCATATATATATGGAGCTGAAAAAGTAGACCACAAATAAGTAAGGGTAATAATAAACAAGTGCTAAACAAGGTCATGAAATCAACATTTAGTTTAATTGCACATATTTAAAAACAAAAATCACATTTAATGTGTACAAAAAATAAAGCTCAAACTAATATGCATTATATTGGAATTTTCTTGCGGAACTCTTATTTTCACTTCTCAATACCCTGGGGTTCCGCAGAACACTATTTGGGAAACACTGCTATAGGGGGAGGCATGAGTTATCACCTGGTCCTTCTCTGATATTGTGTATCCCCAAATTTCCATTCTTTATATGGTAGGCATTAACCTGTCATTCTGTTTCAGTATCATTTGAGTCTGTAGGAACCCCATTATATGAGAGAGTGAGCAATAACCCTGCATATCACCTTGTGAGGTATCAGTTAGGCTAACTCTGAATACCTAATAGGCCTAGGATTAGAATGTGGGCCTAAAAATTAAGTATGGAGATTCTGCTTGTTTGCAAGTATAGAAATTAGGGATGTTAACATGCATTTTTTTGGTGAATGTTAATCACTGAAATGTACATGTTTACAGGCAAAGCAGGGATGTGTGTGTGGGGGAGAGACTTTAAGCCAGCTTCCCACTAACACCAGCTCCCACAGAGCCAGCAGTGTGGTGGGGGAGAGGAGACCTGTGTGTTACTGTGAAGGTTAACCAATGAGCCAAAGCTCATCAGTTAACTGTTTAAACGTGTGTCATATTTTCAGTGACGACCTGTTGTCCCTCCTTTCAGTGACCGCCTGGACAAGTTGCTTTATTGAAGCTAATAAGAAATTTGCTGCTTCATCAGCTATTTTGATACACTAGCTTTTGTCTCCTCGTTGGCACTTGTTTTTCACAGTAATGGTGTGTGTATCTGTATATACATATCCAGAGCTCGACAAACCGCTGTTTCTACTTGCCCATGGCGAGTAGATTTCAGCTGGTCACTCCATGCATCCCATTCACTGGCGCTGCGCATATGCGCAGTGCCGGTCTGGGGCATGTGTGGTGCGGGGCTGGCGAGTAGCTCTTGCCGCAGTTTGTCGAGCCCTGTTATATCTATATATGAAACATGTTACCTTGCACAGACACTTCAGTAGAAATATTAGCATTTAAATTTATGTTGTAGGTTCTGGAATGGCGTATAGGTACACTGCTTTTCAAAGTGGTGTTTTTTTGTTTTTTGTTTTTTTTTAAATAATGCCAGGTGGTAACTCTTTACATTTGCAATCAGTGAACATGTTTTTTAAATGATTATTTTGTAACTTTGGTTCTATTTCTGTTTCTTCTAGGACTCCTGTTCGCCAACAAGTAAGCTCCAGCGTTTGCTGGCTGAGTCTCGACAGATGGTTGCTGATCTGGAGCTTAGCACCCTGCTCCATATTGCCCCTTCTTGCAGTCATAACAGCAGCAGTATTAATACGGTATTTATCAATTTAATGTGGCTAGATTTAGAATACTAAGAAGAGTTACTGTGAGTGTTCTTTTCTTTTTGTTTGGTTTGTACTTTGACATTATAGACATGACATTTACTGATGAGAAAATGATTGTATATTTTATTATGATTTAACTGAGACAAATTTTGTTCTGTCTTGCATCCATTTATTTTCATATGATCTGGACAGAATTTGGCTTGTGTGATTTAAATACAAAGAAGTAAGATGTTTTTTGGAGCAAATTGTGGCAGAACATCAGGTAATGCAGAACATAAAGATGAGTTCAGATCACAATTAGCTGTTTATGCTTGGTATCATTTATGGGGGAGGGAGGATGAAATATAATGTATTAAGTCTCAATGGAAGTGCATGAAAATAATCTGTATATAGTTATCACAGGAGTATATTTTTATCAATGTGCCCTATTCAGAACATTCTGCACACAGAATATTGACTTTTAAATCTGCAATATGAGCTTTCTTCAGAAACTAACGACATAAACTTTGATCTAGTGTCAAAATATTTTTTAAAAATTATATTAAGTTTTTCCCTAATGTACACTGGCCAGCTAATCTGTCTTGAAACTGAGCTCACCAAGGCTGTTTTAAATTAGGCTTGAAGGCATGATTTTAAAGAGTCTACCATAAGTCTTTGGCATGTATTAATTTGTCCCTGCTAGATTAAGTTCTCTCTTAATTTTAATTATTTTCTGTATCAGCAGGGGTAATGGTTATGGATGTATTATAGCGATGGAGATTATTTTATAACTGCTGGACTTACCCGGCATTGCCAGGAAACCGGAGGAACAAAATTTAGAAAAACAGAATCTGGTCCTGACAGCCTCCAGCCACACCGCAGCTGCCAGTGCCTGACATCTGGCCATTATGGCAGACCCCCATGCTTTTCTACTGCTGCATAAAGCAAAATCTCTGACTCAAAAAAGAGGCATTGCAATGTTAAGAATCAGAGCTATTTGACTTGGCAAACTTAGATACAAAAGTCACAATAGAAACTATGTCTCTGTTTTCTTCCTATGTCATGAGTCTTGGAGCCATTACAAGCACAGTGGAAGAGAGAGCCCCCAAATCACCATGGCTTGTTTCCCCACCATTGCTGGAAGCATATAGAGGCAGGCCCCTCTTCAGTAGTGCTGTTTTGCCTCCTATCAGATGCTATTTTTGCTAATTACCCTTGTAGAAGCTAATTTTTTTTGGTAGGAAAGTAGGGGATAGCAAATTCCCATCCAAGATCTGAGTATAAGGATGTGTCAATCAATGGGGCTGGCCCTTCTGAATCTGAGAGATTTCAAGGTAACACCTCAAACTATTCTCCCATCTTTTTTAATGAAACTATGAGTCAACTACCTGAGCCTGCTGGCACCTCTATAGTCCCTCCTCCAGCACCACCCCCTTGACCAGCTGCCCCTCCCATGAACTGCATCTCTCACCTTCCCCGGGATCATCCAGTATCAAACCCAGGACCAGTGCCCAGATATTGAAGAGGGGCCTCCATATGCTTCCAGCAATGGTGGGGAAGCCGCTTCTTCCCACACTGCCAAGCTCTGTGCAGTCCCGGGGAGAGGCGTCAGTCTCTCATCTCTTCCCCCCCACAGTACCTTAAAGCCTTCTCCTGGAGGAAAAGTTAACCCTTGCAAAGTTTGGTTGCTGTAGGTCTTATAGTGTCCACGTTATTAGAGCAAGAGGGGCCTCCATATGCTTCCAGCAATGGTGGGGAAGCCGCTTCTTCCCACACTGCCAAGCTCTGTGCAGTCCCGGGGAGAGGCGTCAGTCTCTCATCTCTTCCCCCCCACAGTACCTTAAAGCCTTCTCCTGGAGGAAAAGTTAACCCTTGCAAAGTTTGGTTGCTGTAGGTCTTATAGTGTCCACGTTATTAGAGCACAAAAATACAAACGTTCTCCTTTATATATTCGATTCTAGGTGTAAATGATATTTTTACATGATAATAGTATTGCTGATTTTGTATGAAAGATTTTCTACAAAATAGCATTGTATTAGGCGCTATTTTAGCAGTAGAGAGCTCAGTTAGGGCAGATAAATGCATATGCCATATTCCTACTTCTCAGGTAAAAAGAAAAATGTGGAAAAAACTAGATGAATTGGAGAGCATATATTTACATTTCTCCAGTTTTGAGTTCTGAATCAATGTTTATGATCCATTATAAAGTTCTTTTCTTAAATCTGCACTTCATCTTTTTATTTTATATTGTAGACAACAGAGTTTACAGAAGAAGCTATTTGCAAAGCACACCTGCCAGCCATGGGAGAAAGTGATAGAAAACTTTCACTGTTTTCTTTATGATCTTTGGTGAGGTTCTGCTTTTCTGTCTTATTTTTTATTTTGAAATGTTTATAAATGCAGTAATTATTTTTCTATTTGAAATGGGCCAAATACAAATTTCTAAGTCCATTTACAATAAAACCTATATACATGAGAGTCATAGCAATAAACCACTGTTAGCTAATGAAGCCAGTAATTCCTCAGATTTCTCCCTCAGAAAAACCCTGGGCTGTTAGACATTGCAACTCCAGCCCTGAACCTGTAATTCATTCCATATAGGCATTGGTCTGTGCAGCACAGGGCCTCACTGAAATTATTGGATCTGTGGGAGGGCACAGCAGTTCTTTCCAGGTACAACGCATTCCAAGATGAAGGCCTGAGGCATTACTGGAGAAATGAAGTGGGGAGTGAATTCTGTAGTCAAGGGTCCTTTACTGATAATGTTCTGTACCAGCCCCCAGAACTGGAAATCTAGAGATAGTCCTGTGGAGCTGATCTCAAGTGTCAGGGAAATAAGGATTCCTCTCTAAAACATAATCTATGATAGGCTTTTTTGTCAAAATAAAATAAAAATCCCACTGTTGCTATCATCAGTTGTAATACAAGTGTAAATAAGGGAATTGAAGCTGGCAATCGAAACAGTGTGTTGTCTAGACCTACTATAATGCCTCACTTAACATTGTAGTTACATTCCTGAAAAGTTTACTTCAAGCAAAATGATGTTAAGTGAATCCAATTTCCTCATAAGAATTCATGTAAATAGGGGGCTAAGTTCCAGATTTTTTTTTTCAGCAGACACAAGGCAGTATCTATTTATATATTTGAGAATTTGTCTGACTGTGCATGAGTGTGTCTGCCTGTGCCTCTGTTAGGTCAAGAACTCCTTCTACTTGGAAAGAGCTAGGACCACCAAATTCTATATACAGTTTCCTCTTGTCATAACTTAAACCAAGGCAAGGGTTTGGTTATAACAGGAAAATGAGATGTGCCAAAAATGGGGTTGCTTCTCATAAAATCATACAGAAAAGAGACAATCATTAGGCAGATGAAAGGAGCTGGCTGAGAGTGCCTCTCCATGCTTCCAGGGCTGTACCAACCTTGAGCCTTCCACCTCACAGGTGTCCTTTAGGGAAGATGGGGGCACTGAACTCCCGCCTCCCCCCATTTGTACAGGAACATTACTGGCTTCTCTTGTTCGTGAGGGAGCCAGAAGAAAGTGCCCAGTTTGCTGTATTCCTCACTCTGACTGGGGAGGTGCAGGGGGTACACTAACCTGGATCTGCCCTAGTCAGGATTAGGGAGCGTGGGAGGGCTGAAGCTCCCTCCCCACCCCCAATTTGTATGTGAACATTGCTATCTGTTCCCCTTCATCAGGGAGTGGAAAATGCATAATTTGCTGCATTCCTCTCTCTGGCTAGGGAGCGCAGAGGGCTGATTCACCTGACCTGTCCCAACGGAAGGACATCCACTCCTCCTCTTGCTGTGCCCAGTGGAACTGCAGTAGCCATGGAGAGGTGCTTCTCACCTGGCCCCAAGCTGTTGCAATGAGGGAAGGCTGAGGTAGTCCTCTCTTCCCTGGGGCAGCCTGCATACTGAATCACTCATCCCCAACCCCACCCCAGAGCAATGATTTAAATGAAGAACAACAAAAATTAATTGAGTTAAGGACCCAAGCAATGCCAGTTAAATCTTCTAGTATACATATAAGCTGCATCTACACTGGCAGTTTTCTGCGCAAGAACTGTTTTGCAGAAGAGTTCTTATGCAAAAAGTCCTCCACAAGAGCGCATCTACTCTGACGTGCTTTTCTGCAAGAGTGTCTATGGCAGTGTGGATGCTCTCTTGTGCAAGAAAGCTCTGATGGCCATTTTAGCCATAGAGGTTTCTTGCACAAGAAATTCATGTTGCCGGTCTACACTGGCCTCTTGCTCAAGAGGGCTTATTCCTCGTGGGGAGAGGAATAACTCTTCCAGAAGAAGCCCTGTTTTCTGATGCTGTACTGTAAATTTACTTGCGCAAGAATGCGTGTGCAGTGTAGACACCTGGCAAGTTTTTGCGGAAGAACAGCTGTTCTTGCTCAAGAAGCCGCCAGTGTAGACGTAGCCATATACTATAAGTTTTAAGCAATGTAATACTGCAAAAAGTGATAATCGTAAAGTTAGTTGAGGTGGTGGAATCAGAGGATGGAAAATTTCCCAGGAAGTGTCTTACTACTAAATGATGGACTAGCACTTGGCTGAGCCCTTGAGGGTTAACATGTTAATGTAACCTCATGCTTTAGAGTCGAGGTCACCAACAGGTCGATCACGATCAACAGGTCGATCGGAGGCCTCGACCAGTCGATTGCGAGGCCTCGACCAGTTGATCACGAGGCGTCCTGTCCACCCCGCCCCACATTTCCTTCCCACTCCCGAGAAGCCCCACTATCTACCTCAAGTGAAAATGGAGGTAGTGTCGGCTTCCCGGGGATGGACAGAAGTCCCACAGCTTAGCACCACTTCCGGCAATTCTGGAAGTAGTGCTAGCTGCTCTGCCGGGTGTACAGCGGGAGGGAGCATTGGTTCCCTGTGCTGCACAGGAGCAGAGAGTCAGCCCCGGGGGAGGTGCGCGAGTGAGGGGGGGGGTCAGTGGTGGGGCAGGTGCATGCGGGGTTTCCCTGCGCTGGGGGTGTCGGCCTCGGAGCAGGCGCGCGCGGGGTTTTTCCTGCTCCGTGGGGTTGGCCCCAGGGCAGGCACGCG